CTAAGAATGGCTTTTATATTTTTTAAAAGGCTGTAAAAAGGAGAGAATGAGAGAGAGCAAAGAGGAGGATGGGACTCTGTTTCTTGCTCTGGCTATCTTCAAGATTTTATCTTTGTTTTTTAGTATTTTGACTATTATGTGTCTAGGTGTTTTATTTTTAAGTTATCCTACTTGGGGTTCTCTGAGCATCTTAGATATGTGATTTATTGTCTTTCATTAATTTTTGAAATTTCTCAACTACTCTCTCTTCAAATACTTCTCTCTCTCTTTTCTCCTGGAATTCCAATTACATGTCTGTTAGACTGATATTATCCCACAGCTTTTGAATCATCTATCTTGTTTTATTCATTTATTGTTTTTCTCTCTGTGTTTCACTCTGGATAATTTCCACTGACGTATCTTCAAATTCAGATTCTTTCCTCAGCTGTGACAAATCTATCAATAAGCCCACCAAAGGCTTCATTGCTGTTAGCATGTTTTTTCATTTCTAACCCAGCTAAAGTTTCCCATTGTTCAGGTAGGTTGCCCATCTTTTCCACCAAATCCTTTAACACATTAATCGCAGTTCCAGTACCTAGGATGTCTCTGAGTTCAGTTCTGTCATGTTTCATCTCTTCACAATGGATTGTTTTTTCTTGTTTCTTTTAGTCTTAGAATTTTTGAAGGCTTATTTAGAGAGAGAGTGTGAGCAGGGGGAGAGGAAAAGGGAGAGAGAGAGAGAAGCAGACTCTTCACATAGCGCAGAGCCTGACATGGGGCTCAATCTCATGACCTTGAGATCATGACCTGAGCTGAAATCAAGAGTTGGGTGCTTAACCGACTGAGCCAGCCAGATGTCCCTAGTCTTAGACTTTTTTAACTGAGTGCCACACATCCTGTGGAAAACAGTAGAGATAGATTGATAACATCTACATCGGGGCCATTAGTGTGAAGGCCTGTGTAAATCTAGTCAGTTGAAACTGGTTTTGATTTTGTTATTTTTACTTTTACTGCACTATCATCTTGTACTTAGAGTCAGACCCAGGTGCCAGAGGGTTCATTTTCCAGCTCCACCCTCAGCTTTCAGCAATTCCTGGTTGCCCATGTCATCCCACAATCTTGTGCTTCCCGAAGTTGTGAACTGCTATTGCTTGTTATTTGATACTGAGCTGATAATAAGTGGGAGTGTAAGTTCTTGGTTCCCCTGGCCCATCCTCAGACTTAAGTCTGTGTACCTGGACTCTGTGGTAGCACCTTCTGAAAATTTCTAACTCCTCCCCCATGGCAGTTAAACATGGCAGAGACACTTCTCACAGTTCTTAAACAGAAGTATTCTTACATTCTCCCAGGGATAGATTTCTGCTTGGTATTGGGGCAGGATCCTGGGCCTAAGAGGTATTCTGCCTCTCCCCAGGGGCAAAAGTTCTTGTACTTGCCCTTCCCCCAGAGGCAGTGGATGTTTGCCTGGGCCCTGGAGGCAGGAAGGCTTGCTGTCCCTCCACCAGTGCCTAATGGCTTTTACTTATGCAAGAGAAAGATCTGAGGAAGTGGGTAGTGTTTCACATCTGCCACCCAGTACCATTCTATCAACGACTACCTGCATGCCTGTGTCACTGAGAGATCTCTTCTTGCCAGGCTTCTGCCCTAGGGGTTCTCATTAGTACCCAGTGAAGGCTTGTGACTGAATGTTAACTGTTGTCCTGTCAGGGTCCCCACTTATTCCAAGCTTATATTTTTATCCACACACAGTCTTTAAAGAATACTTTAAAATTTTAGCTGAATCCTGTTGGGAGATAAATCTTCCAAGGTCTCCCACTTCTGAGTGATTTATGAATAGAAGCACTGATTGCCTTTGTCTTGGACTACCTTTTCAGCCTGGGAAAATAAGAGCTAGGTTTGATTACTGTCCACTATCATAAAGATGTCTCCCTTCAGAGGAAAGGGCAGGCATACTTTATACCTATTACAAAATATTTAGGTTCCCTGAACTCAGGCTTCCTCCCTTGCAATGCGACCCACTGCCCGTATAGGTGTCACCTGGCCCTCTTCTGATGGCACTGTAGGATTGGGGATCAGGGAACTAGCACTCTGATAAATGCTATTACACTGAGTAATAAAGTCCTTTTCCCCTGATTCAGGAAACTGTGGCACACTAACATAACTTGAAGGTAGGGTAATACCTTAGACTCTTCCAAGTTCTTGATAATTTCTTCTTACTTGCTTTAGTATTATACTCTCTGCCAAAGGGGAAACCATTCATATATCCTGTCTCCCCTTGAAAGGTCTTGATCAGTTCCTTTGGTTGCCTTCTCTGATGGGGAGTAAGAAAAACTATGATTTTTTTCCTTGATGTTAGGATGGGGGTAACATTCTCATTCAGCTTTCTACATATTAAGGAGAAGCACAGCTCCTAAGATGTATTTATTTGATTACTTTCTATTATCAAAGATAGACACTTACTGATTTGTAAACTCCATCGTTCTGCTTATGCACATGTTTAATTAGTTTTTTAAAGCAGTGTAAACTTGGATGAAGAACTCTAAGAATTTTGAAAAACTGTCCATGGAATGTTTCATCCCAGAGCTGGAAGCAATGGACCAAGGATGTTTACCTTCTAGCACAGGTGAAGCAGGAAAGGGTGAAAGAATGATTCGTGAGAGATATTCTGCAGAATGTACATATGAAGTGACCAAGTCTTATAGAAATCAGGGGGACATTGAGGAAAACTCCAACCACTTGGAGTTAGAAAGAGGGCTTTTGAAGCTCTCAAAAATGAACAGGAGGATATGGCAGAAAGACCTGAAAAGGATACAAAGCTAGAAGAACAGCAAGTGGTGTCGTGGGAAAACCCTCTCTACATTCACTCTCTTTTTTTGGTAAACAAAATCTAGATTTCTTCTGTGAGATTTACCTCTTCTGCATTGTGGAAGTCTGGTAAGGGCTCCCAAATAAAGTGCCCACTCTTCCCCTAAGCAAGTTTCCTAGGATTCCCTGAGTCACAAAAGATAGAAAAACAGTCGGACTGATTCGTCACCGAGCTGTTGGTTCCTCACACATAGATCCCAGAAGAGCCTTGGTTCCTATTATTTTTAAGTGTGGCTTATTCTTTCTTCTAACTCTATGAATTACCCACTATTTCTATTTTGCTTAAGTTTCTGTTGCTTACAACCAAAGAAACCCAACTGATACAGGGTAAGTGGTCCAATAGAGGGCAATGACAGAGGTTAAAGGAAGTTTTTGAAGGTAGCCTGAAATCCAGATACTTTATTTAAAATTATTAAAAGAACATGTTATTAACAACTGTCAAAATTGCTGGCTATGATACAATAACTAATCAACTTCATGTTTCTGTGTGCTTATAGTTAATTAACATTATCTAATAGGTTAATAATGTTTTATTACTACAAACTTTATTTACAGTTCATTCTCATATCTCCCATGTTAGAAATCAAAACAAATGAGAATGAACTGAAATAATATGCATTACATGCTAGAGAAAAAATATCAAGGAAGGGATGTGAACAGTAGCAAATGATCTATTTAGAATGAAATACAGCTATTTTTGCTTTTTTAGATTCCAATTATGAACTCAGTTGTATTAGGCAAACTGTATGTGCAGAAAATTTCAAGAACAAGATACCCCAAGTAGGTATTAAAAGGGAGAAATACAGTGGAGCACCAAGTAGGATGTTCTCAACAAATGTCTCAAAAAAAAAAAAAAAAAAAAAGCATGGAGTGAAAATGAGACAACTGCTACAAACAGATCAGTCTGACAAGTAAGTGCTTTTAGAATAAAAATTAATTTTTTGGCTGATCTTTCCCTCATTATATAGATGAGGCCCTATGGCTTCTCCTCTCATTAGATAGATGAGGGAGACCAATTGATTTGTCCAAAACTTACAAAGGTAGATTTCACACATGGTTCAGAGGAGGGAGCCTCTCTTTTTGTGAAGAGGATAGCAGAATGTCTAAGTCCTCTTCAATTTAGCAATATAACTTGTAGAATTAAGAGCAGGTTTTAAGATTTTCTTATATACCTTTATACATACATATCTTTATCTCATATACCTTTATACATACACACCAATTATAGTTATATATAAATTTATAATTTATATTAAATTATAACTAAATGATATATATTATATATAACTATATAACTCTCTCTATATATAATTCTGAGTCCTTTTTAGAGTTATCTCATCACCTTTCAAAAATACTATAAAAATGAATTTATAATAAAAGACATGGTTGTGTCCAGATAATAATCAGGATAAGACCACCTAATATTTATCTCTAATATTCGAGATTTTTTCAGACGTAAGTGAGTAAAACAAGAACATTCTACCACAGGTTAGTTTAACACAGGGTTACTCAACCTTGGCACTAGTGACGTTTGGGCAGGATAGTTCTTTGCCATGAGGGGCTGTCCTATGCATGACAGGGTGTTTAGCAGCATTCCTGGCCTCTACCAACTAGATGCCTGTAACAACCCTAGTCATGACAAGCAAAAATGTCTCTTGACATTGCCAGATGTCCTCTGGGGGGCAAAAGTGCTCCCTTGTTTAAAAACACTGGTTTTAACATCATGTCTACAACAAAACAAATACAATTTCCAGCTGTGTGATACCATTGTGGAACTGACTGTGATTAAACTAGAGTTGCATTTTTACTCTAATTCATGGCTAGACCTAAGTTAAATTAAGTATACCAGTTTTTGTCTAGAGCTGAGCTATCCACTACAGCAGTCACGAGCCATATGTGGCTACTCTGGAGTGAAATGTACAGTAAGGGTAAAATATGCACTGGATTTTGAAGACTTGATAGGAAAAAAGGATGTAAAATATCATAATTTTTATGTTAACTGAGCTATTTTGGTATACTTACTGGGTGAAAGATTAAAATTAATTTCACCTGCTCATTTTCATTTTTTTAAAATGTGCTACTAGAAAATGCTAAGTTACATATATGACTCACATTATATTTCCATTGGACAAAACTGGTCTAGAAACTTGAAATGATTTAGTATTATCTTTTAATAAATTCTTCAGTCTATCAAATAAACTAAAAAGACTTTGTAAAGCTCTCCACAGCCCTATGAAACCAGCTCGTTAACTCTTTAGAGCATCATAACTCTTTATTATCATGCTTAAATGATTTTTCTCCTTCTTTAAACAAATTACTTCTATTCCAATGCTTTATTCTCAGTGTTTCAATTGGTTCTTTTCTGAATGCTGATTTATCTTCATGTTTTTTATCATTCTCCTGTGCATCCGTTTCTTTTGCACACTCAGGATCTTTCCTTGTGGGATGATGAGATGCTGCAGCATCCATCATACTTAGAAAATCATAAGCAGGAAGAGGAGGTTTCCATTCCTGAGCAGGTAAAATTGCTGCAAGGAAGATACAACCAAAGGTTAATAATGAACAGCTATAAAATCATCATATAAATACTAGAAAATATTATATTTTGAAAAATATATTTGTAGGAGTAAAGGCTTTATCAGTTTTACTTATCTAAATGAAACTAGATTTTTTTATTGTCATTGTCTAAGAAACTTGATACATTTGTCATTACTAGCCATTTTCACTTTTTTATATATTTGCAAGCTATTCTAAATAAAGGTTAGTATTTTTTTAAAACATTTGTTTTTTAAAAAGGTTTTATTTGAGAGAGAGAGACTGAAAGAGAGAGAGAGCACAAGTGGGGTGAGGGGTAGAGGGAGAAGTAGACTCCCTGCTGAGCAGGGAGCCTGACATGGGGCTCAATCCCCGGACTCTGGGATCATGACCTGAGCCAAAGGCAGACATTTAACGACTGAGCCACCCAAGTGCCCCTAAACATTAGTATTAATAGAGGGAAAAAAAGGTCCCAAATCTCCCGACTAGTTAACCCTTGTTGAGGTTTTTAAAAAAATAGCAATATGGTAATGAGATTACATACAGATAGAAGTTAAAATGAAAAAGCCTCCTGCTTTCCACCCTACCCAACTTTATCCCAAAGAACTGGAACTTTTTTTTTTTTAATTCCAGTATACTTAACATAGTGTTATATTAGTTGCAATATAGTGATTCATCAATTCTATACATTACTCAGTGCTCATCAGGATAAGTGCGCTCTTAATCCCCTTCACTTACTTCACCCATTCCCCCACGCACCTCCCCTGTGGTAACCATCAGTTTGTTCTCTACAGTTAAGAGTCTGATTTTTGGTTTGTCTTTTTTCTTTGTTCATTTTGTTTCTTAAATTCCACATATAAGTGAAATCATATGGGTATTTGTCTTCTCTGACTGATTTATTTCCCTTAGCATTATTACTCTCTAGATCCATCCATGTTGTTGCAAATGACAAGATTTCATTCTTTTGTATGGCTGAGTAATATTCCTGTGTGTGTGTCTGTGTGTGTGTGTACACACAGATCTTCTTTATTCACTTATCAATGGACAGTCTGCTTCCATAATTTGGCAATTGTAAATACTGCAATAAAGATAGGAGTGCATATATCTTTTTGAATTAGATACTGTCTTCATATTCCTTGGGTAAATACTCAGTAGTGGTATTACTGGATCATATGGTAATTCTGTTTTTAATTTTTTTTTTAAGATTTTATTTATTTGACAGAGAGACACACAGTGAAAAAGGGAACACAAGCAGGGGGAGTGGGAGAGGGAAAAGCAGGCTTCCCACAGAGCAGGAAGCCCAATGCGGGGCTCCATCCCAGGACCCCTGGGACTATGACCTGAGCCAAAAGCAGACGTTTAATGACTGAGCCACCCAGGTGGCCCTGTTTTTAATTTTTTTGAGGAACCTCCATGCTGTTTTCCACAGGGACTGCACGAGCTTGCAGTCCCATCAACAATGCACAAGGAGTCCTTATTCTCCGCATCCTTGTCAACACTTGCTATTTCATGTATTTTTTATTTTAGCCAATCTGACAGGTATGAGGTAATATCTCATTGTGGTTTTGATTTGCATTTCCCTGACAATGAGTGACATTGAGCATCTTTTCACATGTCTTGTTGACCATCTGGATGTCTTTTTTGGAGAAATATCTATTCATTTATTCTGTCCCTTTTTAATTGGACTACTTTTTTGGGGGGTGTTAAGTTGTGTAAGTTCTTTATATATTTTGGATACTAACCCTTTATTAGATATGTCATTTGCAAATATCTTATCCCATTCAGTAGGCTGTCTTTTCGTTTTGTTGATTGTTTCCTTTGCCATGCAGAAGTCCTTTATTTTGCTGGGCTCCAATAGTTTAATTTAATTTAATTAATAATTTAATTTTGCTTTTGTTTCCCTTGCCTCAGGAGACATATTAGAAAAATGCTGCTATGGCCAATGCCAAAGAAATTACTGCCAGTGCTCTCTTCTAGGATTTTTATGGTTCAGATCTCACATTTATGTCCTTAATAATGTTAACGACTCACCTTAAAAATGGATTAATCCATTTTAAGGTGTGAGAAAGTGGTCCAGTTTCATTTGTTTGTTATGGAGCTGTCCAGTTTGCCAACACCATCTTTTTCCCATTGCATATTCTCACCTTCTTTGTCAAAGATTAATTGACCATATAATCATGGGTTTATTTCTGGGCTCTCTATTCTCCATTGATCTATGTGTCTATTTTTGTGCCAGTACCATACTGTTGTGATTACCACAGCTTTGTAGTATATCTTGAAATCTGGGATTGTTCTCCTTGTTTTGTTCTTCTTGCACAAGATTGCTTTGGTTATTCAGGTTCTTTTCTGGTTCCATACAAATTTTACAATTGCTTGATCTACTCCTATGAAAAATTCTGTTGGTACTGTGATAGGGATTGCATTAAAATCTGTAGATTGCTTTGGGTAGTATGGACATTTTAACAATATTAATTCTTCCAACCCATGAGCATTTTCATTTGTTTATGTTGTCTTTGTTTCATCAATGTTTTATAGTTTTCACAGTACAGGTCTTACCTGCTTGGTTAAGTTTTTTCCTAGATATTTTATTATTTTGGGTGCAACTTTAAATGGAACTGTTTTCTCAATTTCTCTTTCTGCTATTTCATTGTTTTTTGGGTTTTTTTAATTATGTTAATCACCATACATTACATCATTAGTTTTTGATGTAGTGTTCTATGATTCATTGTTTGCATATAACACCCAGTGCTCCATTGTTAGTGTATGGAAATGCAACAGATACCTGTTTATTGACTTCATACCCTGCGACCTTATGGAATTCATCATCAGTTCTAGTAGTTTTTTGGTGGAGTCTATAGTATCGGGTCATCTACAAATAGTAACAGTTTTACTTCTTCCTTACCAATTTGGATGCCTTTTATTTCTTTTTGTTGCCTGATTGCTGTGGCTAGGGCTTCTAGTACTAAGTTTAATAGAAGTGGTAAGAGTGGACATTCTTATTACTGACCTTAGGGTAAAAGCTGTTTTTCACCATTGAGTATGATGTTAGCTGTGGGTTTTTCATATATGGCCTTTATTATGTTGAAGTATGTTCCCTCTAAGCTTACTTTGTTGTTTTTATCATCAATGGATGTTGTACTTTGTCAAATGCTTTGTCTGCATCTATTTAAATGATCATATGGTTTTTTATCCTTTCTCTTGTTGATTTGATGTATCACAATGATGATTTATGAATAACGAACCACCCTTGCATCCCAGGAATAAATCCCACTTGATAATGGTGAATGATTTTTTAAATGTATTGTTAGATTCAGTTTGCTAATATTTTGTTGAGGATTTTTGCATCTATGTTCATCAGAAATATTAACCTGTGATTCTTTTTTTATAGGGTCTTTATCTGGCCTCATGGAATGAATTTGAAAGCTTTTCTTCCTCTCTTTTCTTTAATAGTTTGAGAACAAGGTATTAAATCTTCCTTAAATGTTTGGTAGAATTCACCTGTGTAGCCATTTGGACTTTTCTTTGTTGGGAGTCTTTTTTTTTTTTTTTTTTTAAGATTTTATTTATTTATTTGAGACCGAGAGAATGAGAGACAGAGAGCATGAGAGGGAGGAGGGTCAGAGGGAGAAGCAGACTCCCTGCCAAGCAGGGAGCCCGATGCGGGACTCGATCCAGGGACTCCAGGATCATGACCTGAGCCGAAGGCAGTCGCTTAACCAACTGAGCCACCCAGGCGCCCCTTGTTGGGAGTCTTTTCATTACTGATTCAATTTCATTGCTGGCTCAAAGTTTCTATTTCTTTCTGATTCAGTTTTGGGAGGTTACATGTTTCTAGGAATTTAACCATTTCTTCTAGGTTGTCCAATTTGTTGACATAGAATTTTTCATAACATTCTCTTATAATCCTTCATATTTCTGTGCTGTCAGTTGTTATTTCTATCACTTCTGATTTTGAGTCCCCTCTATTTTTCATGATCTGGCTAAAGGTCTATCAATTTTGTTGACCTTTTCCAAGAACTAGCTCCTAGTTTCACTGATCTATTGTTTTTTTAGTTTCTATTTCCTTTATATCTGCTCTGATCTTTATTATTTCCTTTCTTCTACTGGTTTGGGGTTTTGTTTGTTCTTTTCCTACCGCCTTTAGGTGTAAGGTGAGGTTATTTGAGATTTTTCTTGCTTCTTGAGGTAGGCCTGTATTGCTATAAACTTCCCTTTTAGAACAACTTTTGCTGCACCCCAAAGATTTTGCACCATTGTTTTCATTTTCCTCATCTCTATTTCTTATTTCCTCTTTGATTTCTTTGTTGACCCATTCATTGTTTAGTAGAATGTTACTTAACCTCCATGTAGTTGTGTTGTTTCCATATTTTTTCTTGTAACTAATTTCTAGTTTTATAGAGTTGTGCTCAGAAGAAATGCATGGTATGACTTCAATCTTTTTTAATTTGTTGAGACTTGTTTTGGGGGTCTGATATGTGATCTATTCTGGAGAATGTTCCATGTGCACTTGAAAAGAATGTGAATTCTGCTGTTTTAAAAGGATAGACTGTTCTGAATATATCTGTTAGGTCCAACTGGGCCAATGTGTCATTCAAAGCCACTGTTTCCTTGTTGATTTTTCTATTTGGATGATCTATCCATTGATGTGACTGGGGTGTTAAATTCCCCTACTATTATTATATTACTATCAGTTACTTCCTTTATGTTTGTTACTAGATGCTATTATGTATTTGGGTGCTCCCATGTTGGTGCATAAATATTTACAATTGTTCTATCTCTTTGGTTAAAAGCTTATTTTGTCTGATATACATATTGCTACCCTGGCTTTCTTTTCACTTCCATTTGCATGATAAATGCTTTTCTATTGGTTCACTTTCAAATTGCACGTGTCTTTACGTTTGAAATTAGTCTCTTATAGGCAGCATATAGATGGGTCTTGTTTTTTATCCATTCCCTCACCCTATGTCTTTTGAATGGAGCATTTAGTCCATTT